GAAGATTTTGTTTAGACCCCGCTGGAATTTTTATGTGTTTTGAACTTTTCATTCAGTTAATGATTTGGAGGAATCACTATAAATAAAAATATTAATTAAGTATACGTATGGAAAGATTATTTGATGTTAGTAATTTATATTTTCTGGGTCCTGCTCCCTTAAGAGATCCCTGCTTAGTTCATTTTTCTTTTTCTCTCTCTCATTTTTTAAAAACATTTTATCTCTAATTGTGGTATGTGTGTATTACAAAAATAATATATAGAATCTAAATTTCTCAAGTTAATTCTATGAAAATCTCTCTATATGCTATATAGTTTTTGTATAAAAAAATACTTTTATTCCAAAAAGTATCTTTTGAAAATTTCATAAGAACACACAAGTAAAAGATTTCAGAAAAGTGCAAGGATCAATGCATGTGAAAATGTCCATTAAATGAGTAAATTGGATAAACAACAAACTAAATCTTTTCAGATGGAAAATAGAGTTTGAAAAGAAAGAAATTTAACTTTTCCTTTTTCATGGATGAGATACTCCTTGGTTTTATTAAAAACAAAACAAAACAAAATAAAAAACCGGGCTGTCGTACTTGAAGTAGAAAATGAAGGACAAAAAGCATCTGGCTAAAGGTCACAATCTTACGTGATTCCAAGGAGCAGATGAGTAATTTCAATGAAAGAAGCAGGCTGAATATAGAGAGAAGCAGGGCAAACTGGAGGGCCCAGGCCCCATCTAAAGACATTCAAAAATTAAATTGTTTAATGCTTTGGGTGGGGGAGGGGGAGAACAATACTAAAATTGAAACCAAATCCAAAATTGAAATCAAAACCCAAACCAAACCGAATTCAGAAGCTTCATCTTAGGAGTGGGTACCTGTGGGGGCCCTTGTCATTAACGCTTGCACGTGGTGTAGTGTTGATAGGAAACAAAAGAAATGCATCTAGAGGGGATGATGGAAAGACAGCACAACTGAGGAGAATGAAACGAAACGAGAAGAGCGACTCAAATGTAGCACATAAAGCAATTTGGTAAGAACAAGAAGCGGACACTGAACATTTGAAACTATCAAGGCACTCTTTACTTGCCACAGAAAAATAATCTGAAACGGGGTAACAAAACTTTCTATTAGAAAATTAACATAAGAGGAGTAGGGAAAAAGGAGATACAGTACATCTAAAAGCAAATGTGCAGGTGCTTGTGCATGTAAGTTAGCCATGGTATTAACTGTTCTTTCTTACAGTAAAATCCTGAAAAACCCTGACAATTACTTCAGTGAAAAGTGGCTTTGGTAATTATGTAGACAAGGAAGGTGATTGTAAATTGGGAATTGAGAAAATAAAAAGGAAAAGTTATGGTAGAGGGTATTAAAACATAATAATAGCCAAAATGGTAAAACCAGGTTAAGGGAAAAAGCAAGGCATGCAAAATGGCATAGAAGACAGAAAAAGGCTAAAAGGAAGGTTCAAGATAAAAACAAGTCATCAGTTTCAAGTTTTAAGGTCAATGGTTTGTGAATAATACTCATGAAAATACAGATGTTTCATTGAAAAATAAAAGAATGGCAGTCTCTTCTAGATTTCTAGAAAATATAATGGAATAGACAAAATTTTCTTAACTAAATTTTAGTCCTACGAATTTAAAAACAATCCTTTGTCCTCTGATACTTGTTTTCTACAGATGAACAACATTGATAACAATTGAAACATTTGGAAGCAGCCGTCAACTGTCCATCGTTCTGGGGGTAGAACTCACGGTCGTGGTTTCATATTGCACATACATTATGATCATCCTTCTTATACAATCGTCCCCAGTTCACTCTACATAGCTAAATACATCATAGTGCTCTAGGGTGCTCCACCACTGCAAATCCATTACAAGGAAAGGAGAAGAGGAGGGAAGGAATGAGAATTGTAATTAAGGAAAGAAAGTAGTGGATAAAAGAGAGTAAAGTAACCACAATGCTATTATCAAACAAAGAGGGAAAAAGAAATGACATACACAGTTAAAATGATTTATTAAGATAACAGTGATTTTTGACACTGTTGTTTCTATCCTTTTAGAAGAAGACCAATATCCCATGGAAAAACTTACCATATTAACCTCTGAAATGCTGTCAATGCTTTCAATGTGAACATCTACACCTACTGGCACTGGGGACCCTTCAGAAAGAAGAAGGGGTAACATTCTGAGAAATGCATTCAAACCAGAGAGACGGATCAATGTTCATATATGGCAAATGAATTATTTTTCAAGTTTTTTGAAACTACACATTTCTCCATTATCTATTGCATCAGTTATTATACATTCAATTACAACAATAAAGGCACATGTGTAAATAATTATTCCAATAATCATTACTCACTTGCTTGGGAACATCTCAATATTTTTCTTTTACAGTATAGAAATAGTATCTCTAGTTTTTTCGTTATTATTATATATTATTTAATATATAATAATTATATATTAATAATTAATTAATAATTAATAAATATCATATATTAATTATATATTTATTATGTTTTTCTTTTACAGTATAGAAATAGTATCTCTAGTTTTTTCGTTATTATTATATATTATTTAATATATAATACATTATATATTAATAATTAATTAATAATTAATAAATATCATATATTAATTATATATTTATTATTTTAAAAGTTATTATATATATTTTTAGCTAGTAGTGATCTAAAAAGGAATAGTGTTTTGAAAACATGTCTTAGGGTATGCATGATTATGTATTCTATATTGTAATGGTCGTATCTTATAGTCAGGGTGTATCATAGAGTCCTTGACTCTGGCAGTGTTGGAACCTTTTTCTCCTGCCAAAAAATCAGCCTTTTCTCACTCATGCGGTGGCTAGAGGAACACAGATGATAGTACAGTGCTAGACACAGACACCACAGATTCAGAAGTGTCCCTTCGCAGATCATCCGCAACTGTAGGCTGCATTTGGGAAGAAGCAAACATCCTTAGAAATGCATTTGATGAGAATATACTGAAAATCAGAATTGGAGCAATTTCAGAGAACTGCTGAGACTTTTTTGCAGTTGGATCTCCCAGATTTATGTTCATGGACTCAACAAACCTGAATGACGACACAAGAGAATCCAAACTAGACTAAAACTGACATTTCTTAGTTACCCCTAACAGGATTTCACCACTTCCTATGTAAGGGGAAATCGATGTTGATAACTTCATCATTTAGTTTTGCATATGAAATTTGATGGATATATATGTTAAAATAATTTATATATATACTCGTGTCTTCTTCATATGTTTTCTTCTTCATAATGAGCCATTCTCGATGAAACCTTATTGCTTATATAGTCCTAAGTTAAAAAATGCTTTCAACTGTTGATGAAAAGATATAAATCCTACCTAGATGGATCCCAGCTGTTGTTTTAGTCGAAATTCTGGGATTTAGAGGGGTCAGGCCTGGAAAGCTTTCTACTGAGGCTTAGTAATGCCTGGATTTGCTACATGTGATGTGTGTGCATATAATTCAACAGCCTTTTGATTGCACAATACAGCATAAAACAAAATATGTCTTGCAGGTTCCTGTCTCTCTTTTGTGACTTCCCCATTAATGGCTGATGTTATCTTCACTTTATCAACATCAGACTCCCTTGTTTGTTCCATGAGTCCATATCTTCAGTATCATTTCTTAATCAGAAGGGTTTCAGCTAGCTGGGCACTAGGCCTGTCACTCAAATATATTCCTGCTTCAGGCTTAAGGAATATGTTACATGCATCTTAACCACTCACTTCTTCCTGCCATATTGGATCGATTACATTCTATAACACTAAAAATGACAATTCTATAAACAATATTGTTTAATGATAATTACGATTAAGCATTAACTTGGGAATAGTTTGGTATTATTCCTTCATAGGGGTTTCATAGGTTTCAGCTATGGTGCTTTTTTGTCAGTTTGTTTTTCTTGGCAGCTGGCTGGTACAGGGATCAAACCCTGGACCTTGGTGTTATCAACACCACACTCTGACCAGCTGAGCTAACCAGCCAGCGTATTTTGGCCTTTTTCCTTGAATTAGAGTTATCGACATAAAAATTCATGAAAATATGTTGGCCATGGCTTTACCTGTCATTTCATGGTGAGAAAATCTTCCCATTAATTCCACTACTCCAAGGGAACAAAGCATTTGAAAAGTTCTTGGAGGGGTGGCAGAATGTCCTGGATAAAGTTCTAGCATTAGAATTACATTGACTATAGAGTTTGCACCCAGCTGCATCACAATTATGTGATTTTGGGTAAGTAATTTCTCTAAGCTTAGTTTCCTCATTTATAAAATCTCAGTAGTAATATTCACCTTAGAGACTCATGTGAGACTAGAAATAATACAGTTATTGAACTTAATTGGTGCTCTATAAATGGCACAAAATAAATGTTATTGCTATTGTAATTAAGCAAAAATGCAAACGTGCCCCTTAGGAATGCAAGCCACTATTCCCAATTCTACACTCAAACATTTACAAAATCAGTCCACTCTTCACTAAAAAAAAAAAAAAAAAAAAAAAAAAAAATGACGCAGGGCTTCTCACTTACTTCCTGATAAAACCAGGGACCAACTTGGATTTAGAATCTCATAACTTGTAAGTAGATCATAGATGCTGATGACTAGATGCTGATGCAAGTCCTTAGCCTGACCCCATTCGAATGTCTAACAACACAATTATTCATTGTCTAGTGTATTAGTAATAAATAACAGCATAATCATTTTATAAATACTTTTATTAATTCTGCATTTAAAGCCTTTAAAATACAGTAAAAATTAAATAAATATTAACCTTAGATTATGGTGTTGATTTCCTGGGATCACTAACTAGATACAGCTCATACGTTTATAATCCTTTTTATGTTCATAAAAATATAGCATCAATCTAGTTTTTATGCAGGCTGAAATAATGAGGGCCAAATGAAAGTTATATATCTTATTCATACAGTGCATAAAAATACATTAGATAACATATTATTTCATGTTATCATTACAGCAACCTTGTTAGCTAGGTAGAATAGATTTTAGCTCTGCTTGACAGATGAAGGAACACATACTCAGAAACCTGCACCACTTGCCTGAAACCCAAGACTAGATAATGCTAGGAATATAGCCAGTTCCTTCTGAATCCCAGGGTAAGTCCTGTGTTTTACAAAGGCTAGATAAGCAGCTTTTATAACTTTAGTTTTTGTCTTGACTCAGTAGCCACCATCTAGATGCTGAATTGATTTCACTTGGAAGAAACAAAGAAATTATCATCTATACGATTAAAACAAAAAAGTCCTTAATTATGGGAGATGTAAAGGGTAGGAAAAAACATAAATAAAGAAAATGAGCTGCAATTTATAACCCAAGTTAAACAAAAAGCGCCCCTAAATTTATATCCTCCTGTTTCCACATAATGAGTCAATTAATCTTCTAATGCTTTATAAAAGTAAAAAACACTGCAGTAGCAGCTGGTTTTAATGTTAAAGCTAATTAGAAAAACACATTAAGGCAAGAGAAGTGCTGAAGTTACATTTAGCTCAAGAGGAAAGAAGTATGTTCATGTGTTTGTGTTGTGGACAAGTAGAAAGAAAGGGAAGATAAATTAAAGCTTGTCTTTTATATCCTGCAGTCTGATTTCCCCAAGGAGGGCCGCTGTGAGAGCAGAGAAATGGGTCACTGGCCTAAGTAGCTGTTCTAACCAAGACATGCAAGGGAAGGCTCAGGACTGTATTTCACAGAGCTACCACCCTGACGCTTCTGACTGAATTTATGAATTTCTCTACCAGAACTGACTAAACACACAAGCCATTTGGACACTATTTAGCCCCAGTCTATGATTGTCAGAAAAATATCTTAGTTGTGGGATGACTGGCCACATGCCACTCAGGAGCACATTTCAATTGCATTTTTAATAGCCCAACAAAAAAGCCTCAGGAAAAAAACACAAATTTTTTAAAAAAATGCATTTTTACTTAAAAAGACAACATGTATCTCTAACACCTCAAGCAAAACGGAAATTTAAGGTCAATTTTCTGTTTTCCTGGGGGACGGAAATGATGTAGGGGAAGGAGAAAAGACGAGGGTCGGTTTGTAGTCTCTACAGCGGAGTTTCTCACACTGTAATGTGTACGTGAATCACCCGGGGATCTTGATACAAATGCAGATTTTTCGGAAATGATGTAGGGGAAGGAGAAAAGACGAGGGTCGGTTTGTAGTCTCTACAGCGGCGTTTCTCACACTGTAATGTGTACGTGAATCACCCGGGGATCTTGATACAAATGCAGATTTTTATTCAGAGAGCCTGGGTGGGGCCTGAGCTTCTGCATTTCTAACTCACTCCCCGGTGATTCGGCTGCTGGTCTTTGGGCCACTTTGAGTGACGAGGTCTCTCTAGCCTGCTTGTTTCAAGGTCCACATTCAAGGACAGTCATTTTTCTCTCAATCTTTCTGGCTTTCAACGGCCTAAAATAATCCACATAAAAACTCTCTCCTCTAGGATAGGGATTAATTTAACTGAGGAACCTAACTTGACAGGAATTAGGGCAGCTTTTTGAATTGGTGTTGAAAGGAATACATCATGTTGAGCTTCCAACTGCGGCAAAGGCCGGTTTCGAGCCATTGCCGTGTGACTCGCGCCCCCTAGTGGCCGAAAAGACCCACTGCCGGGCAAGTTTATCTTCCGAAGATCACTATGAAATCTTGACAAACTCATTTATGGAATTATAGAGACCGAGGTACAAAAAATATCTTCGTGGTCGTTATACAGTATATTATTTAAAATTTGGGAAAATTTGATTGGGGGAAGATTCTATTGAGAATGGTAGTTAAGGGCTCAAGCATGTTTAGGAGAGTTGTAAGGACGTACATATGAGAAGCAGTGAAGTAAAGAAAAAAGATAAAGAAATAGAGTCTCGGTTAAAAAAAAAAACGTGGGGCAGAGGACACATTTCTAAAATGTGTAATTTCAAGACTTCTAAAATCTTAAGTTAGGATTCAATAACTGTGAGAAGCACTCTGAAAAACAAACAAAAAAAAATAAGCTCACCAAGATTTAATCTGATACTGATAATCAAATGCAGTGGTTCTCACAATGTGATCGCAGATCAGCAGCATCAGGAATTTACTAGAAATGGAAATTGTTGGCCCACCCAGATCTAGTGAGTCAGAAACTCTGGTGGTGGGGCCCCATAATCTCTGTGTTAAGACCCCCCCGAATGGTACTGATTCTCGCTAAAGTTTGAGTCACTAATCTAATGAAATCAAGGTCACACCCTTAGAATTGCAACCCAATGGGTTCCAAGAAATTTAAAAAAAAACACAAAACGACACCCCCCCCCACAACCCTCAATATAACTACCTGACATACTTTTTTATGTTACCTGTGAACAAATGAGTTCTCTCTCTTATCTACAAGCCTTTTGTGCTTGCTTTGGTCATAATCACAATAAGGCAAGAGCACTGTGTTCCCCCACCCCACCCTGAATACTTGAGGTATCGGTTATTTATCAAAAAGCTGTACCTGTTCTACTGCCAGAGGATCTACTGCCCTTCATCCACACTTCCCTCATCTGCACATCTCTGGGATTCTGAAAAGTTGTCAGTTTAGGAACTGTGGCAGTGGAAGACTTTGGGTCAATGAAAGAAGAGTCAGAGTGGATTTAGCAGTAAGCCAAGAGTTCACTTTAACTGGTTGATTTCTTCACACCCTGTGCATTGCTGGAAAACTTGGTACCCTCAGTGATTCACCTATATGCACGTTAAACCATCTGAGAGGAAGAAAGGCTTTGATCCAAGTGTGCACCTCTACTGCAGACTTCTTCCGTCCTCTGCATCATGGTTCCACCACTTACTGCTTTTACGGTCTTGGGAAAATCTCCTAACCTCTCTAAATCCCAGTTTCCACATTGGAATTTAAGTATCAGGATAGTGCCTATTTCATAGGGTCACAGTGAGGGTGGAATGAGACAGTGAATTAAAGGGCTTAGCACAGGGCCTGGTACTGCAACATTTTGATCAATTTTAATTGCTAGAAGTGATAAAAATTTTAAAAATAACTCATCAGAGTTGGTTCATAGGGAGCTATGGTATGTGACATGCTAGTTCTTCCACGAAAGCCAGATATTCCAGCTCAGAAGAACATTCAAGATTTTATGAATAACATGCAACACATCTTATAGGCTTTAGTTAAAACAATAAATTGATATATAGGCAGGATATATCCATTTACCATTTATTGAACACATACTATTTACAATAGTGTGTATAGTAGAAAAATGAGTTATTTGGTTAAAGTGGATAAATAATAATTGTAAAATTTTTTTTTAAACTGGTGGTCTTGTGTTTTGGTCTAAACTGCTTCAAATTTTCACCTCCATATTGACAGTACAATGGGTTTTGACATGAGTTTTGTAAGGATAATACTCACCTCCAAATCCAGGTCTCATTGTAAAATCGTGGTCCTCTATATGGAGAAGTTGCTCATATTTCAGGGGACACACTTTGGTACTATCACCTTTCCTCATTCTAGGTTCTTGTTTGCTGTCCATCCAAAGCGGGAAGGAAAAAAAAACAAAAAACAACTTTTGGGATACATACGCTTCTGGATGTTTTGATTTGAGTTAGCCATCTGTGCTTAACACAGCATGTTCTAAAATATATACATAAAAGCTCATTTTTTTAGTTCATATTAAGCCAAAGATCTACAAACAATTGCTCTTTATTATAAAAGAGTGGAGCAGGTTAGGTAAACCAAATTTTGGAGCACCTTAAATGACAAACTGAGTTTGGATTTCATGTACGAACTGGCAGTGTTTCTCAGAATACAGATTTTAGACTTGGTGTGTCCCGATTAACTGGGTGGAGGTGATCAAAGTTCAGATTCGTGGACCCCTGGCCCAGATCAGCTAAATCAGTACCCAAGGAGGCAGGGCCTAGGAATCTGCATTTTAAAACGCAGTGATGCTTGGGGCCACTGAGGTTAAACAATCTTTGAACTGACAGTCAAAAAATAAAAACACTGCCAAGTTGTAAACTGATGAAAATAGTGTTTTGCAAAGACAAAATGAGCAGAAAATATGGGAACAGGCTGAGATTGGAGGCAGAATTCTTGTCTGAGGTTCTAGAACCTAAGGGATGGCAATGTTTGGACCTGATGCCAGGTCAGATTGTGAAGCAGGTGAAGTTTGTTTTCACCCACAGTTCTGCAGGGCAAATGCAAAGCGGGGAGTGGCCTCTCTGCTGTATGTGTCCTGATGTGGGAATAAAGCCCTGTCTCTCCCTGGGTCTGTGAACTTGGGCAAGTTGCTGCACCTCCCTGACTCACTTTCTGCCCTGTGATACCAACTTCCTGGTGATATTGTAGGCGAGAAGGCAGAGTGTCCCTGCGAGCACAGCTCCTTCGGAAGTAACATGCAGCAGACTTCTCATGCTGGGGTCCTTGCCCAGCTCCGCTTCCCTGAAAAATGTGCCTGTCATCCTCACCATCATGGTTAGCAGCAGCAATAGCACAGACCCTGTGGAGTCTTCAAGTAACATGCAGCAGACTTCTCATGCTGGGGTCCTTGCCCAGCTCCGCTTCCCTGAAAAACGTGCCTGTCATCCTCACCATCATGGTTAGCAGCAGCAATAGCACAGACCCTGTGGAGTCTTCTAAGTGAATTCTAGTCACTCTGAATACCTGATATGCTTTCATGTTAATAAATGTCTTCTCCAGAAACTGATGTGAATTTTAACATAAGACTTGTGGATGCAATTTCTTGATTCAATAAAATGACTTCGATGGGGAGAATTTCAGATCCTGAAGCAACTGGTGGAAGACATATGTGCAGGCTGTGGGCACCTGAGATCACCCAGTGGGGTCTTTCAATAGGACGGTTTCTGGTTGAAACCCTCAGAGCTTATATATATATATATATACACAAGCATTTTTGCCCTTCAAAGAAATGGGGAAGTTGGGAGATCAAAACTGGAGTAGAAGGCAATGAGTTTGATTTTAAGCATGTTAAGCCATTATATCCTATGAATAATTGAACATATAGAGCTATTTCTTCCATGGAGCTAGAATTAACTGGAAAAATTATTCCAAGGAGCTATAATGAACTATGTATTCAAAGATAATAGCAGCTAGCTTTTATTAAATGCCTACTACATTCAAGGCACCTTGCCAGATGTTTTGTAAATATTATCTTCTTTGGCATGCATCTAAATATCTGGTTTCCTGGGCCTAAGCCTAGAGTTTCTGATTCAATAGGTTTGGGGTGTGAGAACTTGCATGTATACCAATTTCTCAGGAGAACAACTGGCCTAGAAAGTAGAAGACATTTAATAAAAACTAGCTACTTGTTACTATTTTAAGGAAAATGGAAATGTAACTTTGGGTGGAACTCCTTTGGTAATATTTTTTTTTTAAAAAAACAACTAAATGGCATATCACTACTGTGTCTTTTCAGGAGCATATCCCTCCATGAGATTAGAAAGGAGAAATCTTAATTAGGGATCCCAAGAACACTGAACACAGCCTGCTATGAAATGCTTTCTTGGCAGTACTTGGAAGTACATGCACCTGTTCATACCTGAGGGCTCTTCTGATGTACAGGAGATGTTCCATATTTATCTATTTTTGCCTTTTTTATACCTCATCTACTTCCCCAAAAGGATTTGTTACTTTTATACCCTGTAAAAAAAATTTGAGGGCTGGCTGGTTAGCTCAGTTGGTTAGAGCACGGTGGCACAATACCAAGGTGAAGTGTTTAGATTCCCTTGCCAGCCAGCCACCAAAAAAAAAAAAAAAAAAAAAAAAAAA